AATGAAAGGAAGTTAAATTGCTCGAAGAGCTCAACACAGAGCAGATGGTTCATATGTAGACTGAGAATGAAAACATTTAAGTCTTGGACGATTAATATCAAGAGTATCTTCCAAGAATCAATCAGGTATGCTGTCAGGGGCTAAATCATGGATCAGTGTAAGAGTCATAGAGGTTAAAATAGCAATCCAAGGCTCAAAAGGCCCTTGGAAACTTTTAAAAAGAATTGCAACCCAAACCACCAAGATCAATACATCAGCAAGTAAGAGTTAATTAAAATAAGATTCATTTAGCATAGTATGTAAAAAATGGGAAATCTTTGCACTGAGAAAAGCCCTGGAACAGTTCACTTTTGGATTTGAATTGCACTTTATTGTCTAAAACAGCAAATATCAAAATGTGATGTTCTCTGTTAATTACCACCTTAAAACTATTATTTTTAAGAATGAAAAACTTTAAAATTTGTATTTCTTACAAATAAGAAATAACTTGCATTTCTACATATACACTCTCATGAGAAAGTTGAATAAAGGAAAAATACCATAGAATCTGGTATGAGTTGTTAGCTGTCGGTGTGTTGCGATGTGTCTGCAAAGAGTTCTGCTCAGCTAGAAAGCTCTTCTCCATTTGTCCTCTTCTAACCAACCACAAAAGGCTCTTCAAGTGTAAAATAAATGATTCATGAGTGTACCTGATATCCACCTTCTTCATTAGTTGTGTCTTAACTTTGTTTTCAGTAAAGCCGCAGGAAAATCATAGCCTCACCATTTGGAGAGGAATGAATGGATCTCACTCTGATAATGAACATTAAAAGAAAAACTCTTGATGAGTTCAATTTAACTTGGTTTCTTTGAATGAAGAAAATCTGTTGCCTCAGACAGCACTCAAAACTAGATTAAATTGAGAGATCTCTGCTCTCACGTAGTCAGTATGAAGAGTCAAAAACAAAAGTAAAATAAAATTGGCTTGATTAGTTAATTCTAGACATTTGCCTTATTTAGGGGTGACCTGATGGGCTGGCAGCCTGGCACTGCCTAAGGTGCAGCTGCTGGCGGATGGCTGGGACCTGACTTTCTGTTAACACAAGCAGACGCTTGAGTTTTTAGCCAGTCGACACACTGTTAAGTCGCAGTTTACTACGTGGGAACTCTAGGTATGGAAACAACTTGAAGCCAGAGGTAGTTCATCAGGAGCTACTTCAGTGTAGACTGAAGAATAAAAAAGTGGAAATTCCTACACTTAAAGTTGCGGCACCAGTGTGACTGGATGTAAGGTCCGTGCAAATGTTCTAAGGGATCCATAGTAGTTTAAGACAAGAGTTGAAGTGAAATGGGAATGGGAAGACGAAACAGCATAGCCTGAAGCCTTGTAGTGGGGTCTAAAGTATAGTAGTTCAAAGATTTATCGCAATGAACAACACTGAGCTCCAGGTATGGACATGTCATCACACCACGTGAGTCGGACTTCCACACGCCACCTTCAGTTTAAGTGCTTTGCTGTAAGGATGCACAGAGCTCACAAAAGCTGTTTCATTTATATTACAGTTTATTGCATGAAAGGTTACGAATAAATACCATCAAAGGCAGGAGCTACTGCAGGGAAAGCCAAGCACAAACTCCCCAGAACCTGTAACCCTTCCCACAGCGTGTGACCCCATAGATGAAGTATTGCTAACCTGGGAGGCTCACTCTAGTTGTGGCATCCAGCATGGTTAGTTGGTGGAGGCTGTTATGTAGATATTTAAAGCCATGGGACAAACCTCAGCTTCTCCTTCTCTGGGCCTCCTAGATTTCAGATGGCTATAATGTGGCCACACACCTTCAATTAGCAGACACTTCCTACAGTGTTAGCATAAAATACCAGATGTGACCCACTGTTCCTGGTATACAGACAGTCTTACTGGGCAAGATATTCCAGGGTTGACTTGTCATCTCTCTATAACATATTGATAGTACTATTTAGGATTTAAGCCCCCCAAATCTGTTGAGTGAACCCAATACTGTGTCATGTAGAACTGAGTGTTTAGCTACACTGTCTTACGTTTCACATTCATACCTATTCCAGTCAATTTAAGCCTCAAAGATAGGTCTTGTGGACTTGTTTCCTGCTGAATATGTACTAACACCTTACCATTTCCTAAGATTCCTGTCTCAGAACAGCCTTGAATATCTACTATAACAGGGTAGGAATTCTAGGTTGCTAGTATCAAGTAATCTTCCTAGCAAGTAAGAAGTAGCCAGTGTACTTATTTGAAAGAATAAATAATTCATGAATCTTCCTCTTTTTTCCTATTGATTCTCGTCCCAAATATGTTTGGTAGCTTGGTCTCTCCTTCCATCTGTGCCAACAAATTAAATTTTTAAACCATGCTTCAAGGTGTAGGTGAAATTTTACTCTTGGTATACAGCGTCAATTTTCTTCTGGGATGCACTTACGCTGTTGCACCTTAAATTCTAGTTGGTTGTGAGTGCATTTCTCTTTTAATCCAAGTAGCTGTTGGCTTTTAAAGACAGAGACCTCGACCCGCTCATCGTTGGAGTATCTAGAATTCCCATCCTAATGTGTTCTTCAGGTCATTAAGTTAAATTGAATATGCAATTATTTAATCACAATTTTCAGGTACATATTACTAGGTTAAAATAATGCTAAATAAAAAGGCAACTAATGTCTAAAGTTTTCTAATTGTTGAATTCAGTCTGAATCTCAGAAAAGTGGTACTATTTTCTTTCAAATTAGAGTAAATGAAATATAGAAGACCAAGCACAGGGCATACCGTCCAGAATGGTGGTTCAGTGTTCTCCGTGGGATAAGCCTAATCATAATAAACAAGCATCTTTCATCTTCCCTGCCTGTGGATCCTTTTGAAAATTTTCTCATTTTCATTGCTTTAGGGAGATCTGTCTCTGTATCAGTTTAAAATTTGTTTGCTTAGTTTTGCTGACATTTATCATTTCAAAATACCTGAAATTAGCCTTAAAAATTAAAACTGGCAGGAATGTTAGTGGCAGACTTTTAATTTGTGTACACATCAGGATTCTAATGTTTAACACATAAAGTGGGGCAAGAGAACCTCTTGTCATGTCCCTCAGCTGTGAAAATGGGTCACAAAAATTAAGAGCAAAAAAGTTAATTATAAACAAGTTCCCTTGCATCTAAGAACCTCTTTATTTATTATCCTTTTTTTCTTATTTTCTGCCACTTTTCCCTTTTCTACATTGGTTTAAAAGTTCTCAGCTTTTATCAAACCTGTGTTCTTCCCAACCCTTGCTTAATAAAACCATTTTTGCTAAGCATCTACTGTGTGCAATGCCCTTTGGTGATTTGATAAAAATCACTACTGCCAAGAGACTCATTTAAAATAATAAACTTTTATGAAGGTAATGCTCAATGTTGTAAAAGGAACCTTGGTATTTTCTGTAACTACAATAAGTAAGATAAGTAAGTAGGGTTTCTAGCTCTGGTTAGAGTATGCCATAAAACTGAAGAGAATAATCATTAAAACCTAATGATATGTTTTTAGTGGTGATAATCAAGCAGTACATACTAAGCCCACTACTTGGGTGGCTGAGGCAGGAAGATCGCAAGCTGGAGTCTCACCTGAGCAACTCTGTGAATTGTAGTCTCAAAATAAAAATTACAAAGTGCCAGGATGTAGCTCAGTGAGATGTCCCTGCATTCACTCTCCAGCATTGCTGAAGGGACATGGGTGAGACGAAAATTAGTTCTCCAAGGAAAGCGAAACTTTAAACTTGAGGTAGGAAAGGGAATTCAAGCCACACAGGAAGTGTGGAATAAATGCGTATTTAGATGACATTGAAAATCTGTTTTCTGAGAAGCAGGAAGCCTCCATTTAGAGTATCAGTGCAGATTACCCTCTCCTTAAATTGTGAGGCCACATCCTTCCTCGTTCTGCATTCTGTCCTGGGTTCTTAATGGACCGAGGCCACATCGCAGACTCTCCTGTAGACAGCACTCAGTGTACTGAGCCTGGGGTTATGGAGTCAGCAGGGAAGCGGTCAGTGAACAGGGAAGAACATTTCTCAGAATATCAGCATCTGAATGGCTAGCCCAGCGTGCTAAAGGAAGTCCTGTGAGCAGTTAATCAGGGACAACTGTCCTCTTCTACATAGTCTGATCGGAGAAATACTGTATTTGTTGTTTCTCTGCAAGTCAAATTAGAATGTTTACCTCAAGTGTGTGTATTTTTAATCTGTATTATGAAAATTATACCTGGCAGGGGTATAATTCCCAGGAAGTTTTACCACATGTCATGTGTTTCAAGATGAAGTTGCTCAGTAATACAGAACAGTGAACATAACTGGCCCCGTGATAGTCAGACTGCAATAGTCTCTTACTTTACTTTATCATGACAGTTACTCTACATGCTTAACATACATGAAGCTCTAGATCATAACCTTCGGTATGGTAGATTAGAATCCAGCTATAGAAGTAGCTATGAGCAAATGTTCAAAGGTAGTACCAAGCTTTAACCTGAGAACAGAAAAGAACATGCAGTTAACATTTTCTTTACACAGACATACAAAAGCTCTTAATTGTGAAGGATTTTAGCCACTTCCTCATTGCTGAGACTTAACACCTGACACTTCCTGTTGAAAGGAGGAAAGCTTTGCTTGGGCTCACACTTCAGGTTCAGGCTCACAGTTTAGTTTCACAGTTTAGTTTGGGCTCACAGTTTAGTTTCATACTCTGCTGGTTGCAAGGTAGGAAGGCATGACAGAGGAGCTCTACGGAGAGAAAGCTGCTCACCTCATGGAGGAGGGGGAGCCCCGAAGGGGAGGGCCCCTGCCAGGCCACTTCCCCATGGGTCCCCTACTGCAGGCTGGATCTAATCTTTTCACAGCACGCTAGCTAGGAGCCCCGCAATCAATCACCTTCCAAACCAGTGAGGGCTTGGAGGGCACTTTCGATCTAAACCATAACTGAGGGTTGCTCTTTTCTCCTTGCTCGTAGCCCTCTCTACAAGGCCCTTCTCTCTTTACAGGAGAATGTTGAAGGAGGAGACTGCAGTCGATGCAAATCTGGATTCTTCAATTTGCAAGAGGATAATCCAAAAGGCTGTGATGAGTGTTTCTGTTCAGGGGTTTCCAACAGATGTCAGAGTGCCTACTGGACATACGGCAAGGTAAGAACGGTCCTTTAATCCTCTGTGCTGTTGGTCTTCCTTGTGGCTTTTGTTCTTTGACTTTCGCAAGTATGTTACAGTGAGCTTCTGCTTGCATTTCTAGAGAAAAAGTGATAGATTTGTCTGCAGATCTTATTGCATCTTCCCTCCAAGCCATAATGGGTTTCAATCCCCATAATTAGTGCATGAAATAATAGTGGCATTTATTTTAATCCCTAGAAGACACCATAATAGAGAAAACATGCTATGATAATATAGAAATTATGTATTCTATTCATTTATATGTCTTGTATATAATTTGGAAAAATTTCTTTGTCATAGCTATATTTAATACATCTTATACATCAGCTTTTTTATTTAATGCTTTCTGGGCTCTTCCACCATTAAAAAAGGATAATAAGTTTGGTAATACCTTCACTTTTAGCTGATTTACCATTTTAAAAATTGTTACTAAACCAGTGTTGTCCAACTTGCTCTTTCTTTCTGTCTGTCTGTCTGTCTGTCTTAATTTCTCTTTTTTTCTTCCTGTCCTTCTTTCTCATCTTATTAAACATTATAATAAAAACACAAATATGGAGGTAGCTTTGTTACACTTGTGTGTGTGTTAACTACAATATGTATTTTATATGCAGCCCAAGATGATTCCCCTTTACTCAAAGAGTATAAAACCAGGACGGAAAGGCAGTGCACAGGTCGGAAGAGGCCGAAACTACTTAGCGGTAGCTGTGCTCATCTTCTTCTAACATAAATATGCTTGCCTTTGTGCCTGCATTTCCTGTCATGCACTCCATGGCCTCTCCCTGCAGACAGCAGTTTGTCTTTCTCCAAAAGAGAATTTAGAGGAAAACAAGACCTGCACAAGTGGCTTTTTAAGCTGTAGAGTGAGATGGTCAGACTTGCGTTGTGTTGTTTTATCAGACTGTGTTCCTGCCACCTCCTTCATCATTCATTAGCTAACCGATTAATTAAAATGCAGATGTTAAATATTTTTCCACTTATACTGTATTCAGTCATCTGGAATATTATGAACAGTTTCTGATATACTCTCACGTCTAAATGTGAGTCTACATGCACATTATCAAGTGTATTGTGGTCAAAGCAGACTTCAAAGAATCAACAGGAAATGATCATTGAGTTCCAAACTCCTTCATTTTGTACATAGAAACCCACCCAGCCTAGGGGCAGAGCTGGTGACCCTCCAGCATGGTGTCTGCTGCTCTCCGTGGTCTTAGAACAGCTGAAATGGAAATGGAGAAGAGGAAGGAATTTGTTGCTTGTTGTCTCCCAAATTGTTGAGCTTATAACTGGTCTCTCTTTTTTTTCTTTTTGACCAAAGCAGTTCTAGGGATTCTACAGCTTTGGAACAAGCAAAATCAAATGATCCCTGCATGAAGAGATTTTCAAAAAGTATTTCATCCTCACATTGTAGCCAGTCTCCCCTCCTCTCCCAGTGCCAGGCAGTTGACGTGTGTCTAACAAGACCATGGTAGCCAACAGCCTGAATCCTCAGTAAGCAGTGTTTCAACTCAAAGTGTAGTTTCTTCCTGTCCCTGGCTGGATGGAAAAGCAATCGTCACACATGCCTTCATTTTTCCTCTGAGGCTTCTTTTTTTTTTTTTTTTTTTTTTTTTTGTCTTTTTCATTTTTATCGGTACCAGGGATTGAACTCATGACTGCCTGCTTGCAAGGCAGGCGCTTATGCCGCTGAGCTAAATCCCCAGCTCCCTCCTCTGAGGCTTCTTGCTGCTCTGGGCCAGAAACCTAGGCTATGAGTTCCCAGAGTACTTCAGAGCCTAAGGAAAGATGCATGCAGTATTTTAAGGTGTTGTCATAGGAACAGATTGATGGAATCAAGTGTCCCTAACCCTCAAAGTACAAACTTTAGAAGTATGGTGGGAAGATATGCTAAATAAAAAGCCAACTTTCAAATACTTGTATATTTTTTCTTTTTTTATGTTTTAAAAATACCTATGTTACCATTTTGAAATATTTTATTTTCTTAAGCCACAAGAAATTTCAGCTGGCTTATAAACTGCAAGACTGAGGTCCAATTATTTGGTACACTGGGTGATGTTATAACTATTGTGAACTCTAAGTGAATTTCTAGTTTTAAAAAAAGTGTCAGAAATCACAGCTTTTGAAAAGTGCAGGTTCACAAAATATCATCTGAATAAGTGAAGAGGTCAGAAAGGATGAAGGGAAGAGTAGGAGCCTCTCTTAGTACATAAAATAAGTTTAATGAGATTCCTATTACAGTGTTCATAGTGTTGTCTATAAAAGACAAGTGCCCCAAAAGGTAAAACAGTGGGTGGATTTTATTGATTGTTGTGTGTTTTCTGTAAGACACAAGACATGAATGGCTGGTACCTGACTGACATCTCCGGCCGAATCCGACTGGCACCCCACCTGGACAACTCTGGGTCACCTGAGCAGATCAGCATCAGTAACGCGGAGGCCCGGCAAGCTCTGCCTGACAACTACTACTGGAGCGCGCCGGCCGCGTATCTGGGAAACAAAGTAAGTCCATGTGTTATTGGTTGATACGAGAGTGCATTTCACTCAGCGTTTCTGTAAGGAAAACGACCATTAAGCCATACAGTATTGGATTGTGAGCACCAGCTAAATCACTTCAAGCTGGAGATTTCTCCCATGGCACATGAGTGAATTGTGTACAGCAGACACCACAGTGCCACACCCTCCCTAGTGTTTAATGTAATTGTAGTTAGCTTTGTGAAGGGATGGAAGGATGCCTGGGTGGGAGGATGGTGGAATGATGAATGGATACATGGGTGAATGAAACCTTTAAGGTATTTTGTGAATACATTATAGATACCGGTAAAAGGGGTATTTGTTGGAAAATAGCTATTTCATGGAGCAGACCATAATGAAATACTGACATCTTTCTCATCTGTTTCCATTTCATTTTGAGAGTGATATGAGAGAGAGCTACTCTTCTACCTGGTATGAATGTTAATTAGAAAAAGAAACATATATCATGACTAGTTTAAGGCTGGCTTTGAGGCTTCTGTAAACAACATACTTCCTAGAGTTTAGACAGACACCTCTTCCGGATGTGTCAGATTGCAAGCCCAGGTTTGTTTTAAAGCCTACTCACATGTGTACACAAACATACACAGATAAACAGATGCATTACCTTCAGAAATGCAGGCTATTTTTGTTTTTTCCTGGTGGGGATTATCTCTCTCTAGATAGGTGCTTGGAGTTCAGAATTTTATTTTCCCTGATAACTTGTTGGAAAGTATATTCAGTATCTTAATTCTGTAAGTATTGGTTAGTGGGTGAAAATTAGTACCATGTCAGTTTATAGTTAAAATACTGTATTATACTAGATATTTTCCATGGAAAAACATCTCTTAGTGAGTTGATGCTATTTAAATTTAGAATGCTATGTTATTTTTGGAGAAATCCTCATTGATTAAACAAATATAATATACTCAACGTTATTGGATCTTGTGTGTAAGTATTGAGAGAAAAAAAATTAGTTTGTATCTCTTATGCTTCTCAGTAAATAGGAGCTAGTAGCTTTAATTGGTTGAAAAATTTTAACTCAGGGGAGGTTCTTATTTTTAATAGCCTTCTAAATGCTAGTACAAAAACGTGTAAATGAACAAAACAGGTTTTCAATAAACATTTATTTTAAAAGAGACAGCATATGTTGCATAAAATTCAATAGCTGCAATAAAAACCTAATTAAACTTTTATTTGCAAGGCCTTTTACAACAAGAAGTCATTTTATCCTATTCTATTTAGGAGCCTCCTATAGTCCCAACAAGAATAAAATAGCACATATGGCTTGAATTTCTACTGCTTAAAATTGCCCCTCAAAAAATCCTAAAAATAAGTCAATTTTTTTTTCTTTTGCTGTTCAGAGAAGTTCCAAGAAGAGATTTGGGTCAGAAATTAGATGAATTTCAGAAATTTTATTTTATATAATAGTAAAATGTATTTGGGGATAGATGATAATAAAACTTCTCACATTTTCCATCATTTCTTCCTTGGTCATATGTTTTCTCCTTCTGTTGGCTTAAAATCAAGCTGACAGAAGGAAGGTAAGCAGACAGGATATTAAATGACATCAGAGCTGAGGATGGGGACGTACTGTTTGTCGTTGTGGGTTCCCAAAGATAACTTCCCTTGTCGTGGCTGAACTGTGTCCTATAACCAGCCACCAGGAAGCACTTCATATTCTACTTCAGAGCATTTTCACATCAAAAACCTGTGCTTTTCTGTGCTCCATTTTCCATTTAGTGAACAAAATAATCATAACAGGGTGTGCAAATTGTTGCAATATAGAAGACTTTTTTTAATGCAATGTGGAAACCCTTGGTGTTTTACTGTCAGATGCCTCAGTATGAAAGAAACAATTTCCCTTAATAACTGAACCACATACATTTTTGATACTACAGTCATACTGCAACCTCTCAGAAATTACTACAGTACATCTTAACTGTCATGTCACATCATGTAAATTATAGTCATGATGACATGCTTAGCTTGGTCGATTGAATGTCTTGCTAAGGAAATGGAAAATTGCAGGGCCTTGTTTGTAAATTCAATAAAGCCACTTTTCTAAATAGTTGAGGTTAAATTCTTTACAAGTAATTTCATTCAAGTCAGAGCCACTGCCAGAATCTGACAGAAATATTATATCAGGATACTAGTGCATCTGCTTAAGTACTGAATTTCATTGACACCAACGAACAGCAGGTTGTGGGTACATAAGCCATCCACTGCTTTTTTTGGTGCTAATTCCTAAGTTAAAAATATTTATGAGATGCTATTAGCTTTCCCAAAATGTTTACATAGTAATTTGCAAATGTTTTCCCAATCACTTGGTTAGAAGTCTGCTTGCAGCAGAGAGGGGAAATGCTGCACCGTGGAGAAGCTACCTGCCCTGCTTAATGCAAATGCTAACTCGGAGCCTGCCTGACTGTAATCCATCTCAAAAATGCAAGGCAGTTCAGTATACAGTACCTGGCATCCTGTGAAACATAATTTAATGTTTTTGCCCTGTGGGACAATGAGGTGGAAGTACATGATATTAAGAATGTATGTGAACAGTGGATGATGCCCAGACAACATAGCATAGCAGGAAAAAAAAATTATATATATATATATATATGAATTTTGGCACAATTGGCAGTTTATCTTTATAAAATTTTCCCAACTTATTTTAGAGCGCCTAAGAATTTGGGTCAGGTATTCACTGGGCTAAAGTAAGCAGCATTTCCTGGTCATATGCCTCATGAGTATGAATCCTTGTTTTTAGCGTATTTGGGTGGGCAAGAAGCCAGGCAGAAAAGGACAAATGTAGAGGATAGACTCGTGCTGGCTTGCTACAAGCTGCAGTTAGCCTGAAACCGTTTAGGGACTTCAGACTTGGGGTAATTTACTGCGTTAGTGAACAAAAGGCTCTTGGAACACTGAAGTAGTCATGTACTTAAGGTTACCCCAGTGGCCTAGAATAGTCCTTGCAGTTTCCAAACGCGATTCTACACATCTGTAAATTTCTCAGAAAATCTGCTTTGGCCTGTCTGCTTCCATCTCCACATTACCATTAAGATTTAAAATCCTCTCTCTGTACATTATTGAATTAATCTTCTGTGATTTGTTCTTTACAAAATAATTCTAATTTCCTACAACATTATGCTGACTTTCTAGTTTATTAAAACTTGCTAGTTGAGTAAAACTTTTAAATTGTTGCATGTATCTGCCAGCAGTACTGAGAATCTAGCTTAAAATGTGCCCCTGAGACCCGGCTGACATGATAGCATCTGGCTTCTAGATGGAATCCTGGAAAACTCTGTTGTTGTTCTTGTTTGACTTTCAGTTCTGCTTCACAGAGCTCACACTGTGGCTGTGGATTTGAAGGAGGACATTGGGATTTGAGATCTATAGGACAGGGTAACTCTTAACACATAAAAGGAGCTCAAGAAATACTTTGTGATTGATTCAACCTCTTAACACAGACACCCAAAATTTAACAGTGGTTTGAATAGGTTGCTCAGAAATAATCTTCAGCTTATTATGGTTTATGTGTAAGTTGGAAGGCAATTTTAATCTTTTTTTTTAAATGTAAGTATGACTTACTTTTTTAGAGGCACAAAATTGTATTTGTGACTTCATTTCTCCAACTTTCTCAAAACTGTGTAGAAGTAAAATTCATATTAAGAAGCCATAACTTCCTGTAATTTAAATATTGCATTAAATAGATTAATCAGAAAGATCATTATGCAAATAGAGAAAAGAATGGCCATAAAAGTAGACATGATAAATAAACTGATTTTTCTATCCTTACATAAAACCATAAAGAATAATTTGGTGATGGAGTAGGATCAAGGATTCTCTTATAATAAAGTAAATGAATTGGTTTGCAGTGAAACACAACACATGGAGACAGTTTTTACAACTGACCAACTGAACGGTTACTAGGTAGGGGAACATTCAGTTCAGTAACAATTTAGAGGGAAAAAGAAAGAGTTTTACTCAGGAGTAAACTTAGTATGAACAGTTGGCGATAGTATTGATAAAACTTTAACACAATCTATGGGTACACTGATAGGAATTTCCTGGTTAAGGCAAAGCAGACAAGGGGTAGAGAGATTCTGCACAAAACATGTGTCATCTAAGATACTCAGCTGACTTATGAATTCCTGCTGTATGATAAAGTACGTGACTAGTTTAGATGTAACACATCCCCCAAAGGTCTCACCTATTCAGATGGGGCCTTTCTGAAGATGGCTGGATCATGAAGGTGCCATACTTATTACTGGATTATTCCACTGGTAAGACTTCAGACTATTTCATGTCTTAGTAGGAGGTGGACCAGTTGGATGGAGACGGGTTCCGAGGGCATGGCTTTGGAGTGTGTGTCTCTGGCTCTTCTTAGCATGTGTCTCATTGCTTCCCAGCTGCCATGGTTGAGTAGCTCTCTTCCACATATCCTTCCATCATGAGATTTCTGTCCTGGAACCAGCCACTCAGGGACTGGAACCTCTGATACTGTGAACCAAAATAACATTCTCTTTTAAATTGTGAATATCACGCATTTCATCCCAGTGGCAAAAAGGTGACTAATCCATTAGCAAAACTCATCAACTAGTAAACCAAGCTATTCTAACTAGGGAAAAATAGAGCTATGATTGAAATTCAGATGTTCATCAAATGAAGCATTTTTTCAAACTATTACATTTTATTAGCTGTTGTGTTTTAACTCTGGAATAAATATATGATGCAATTGTGCAAAAGAAAGTACAAGAAAATGAGTAATAAATATGTGAATTTATTTAACTATAAATGAAGAAAGACACAAGCCTGAAGCCTAGTTTTGAAAGGATTACAAGACACTGACAAAATTTATCAAGGAGAAAAATGTAAACACTCACATAAACAATTCTAGAAATGTAGGGACAGCTATAAGTACAATGAATTCCAAAGCAATCAGGTAAGGAAATATCAAAAAATATGAACAAGTAAAGGAGTATCATGAAAATTTA